GGGAGCGGCGGGAAACAGGACAATGGAGGCGCCACCCGGGGCAGCTGAAACTCGATGGGACATAGGAAACGCCATACAGGGTCCCACGGCAATCAGGCTGGAGGCAGTGCTGAGACAACACGCAGCGGCATTCGCCCACACAATACAGCAGCTAGGCAAGTGCGTGACCAGCACCATGCGTCTACAGTTGACCAGTGAAGTACCGGTGTACCAGCGGCGAAGGAGGATGAGCCCTCAAGACCTCAGCATCTGCACCGAGAAATGCCAAGAGCTGCTGGCGGCCGGGCTGATCAGGCGGTCGACATCGGTCTATGCAGCTGCCACAGTTGTAGCAGCTCGGACAGATCTGACAGGTGCAGTCCTGTCCCGTCGCATGTGTGGGGACTACAGGGGACTGAACAAGGTCACGGCGACAGACAGATACCCCATGCCGATGGCTGAAGAGATATTCGACCAGCTGCACGGAAGCTGGGTCTTCTCCACCCTGGATTTGCGCCAGGGCTTCAATCAGATACCGATAGCCGAGGAGGACAAGAAGAAGACTGCGTTTCACGGGCTGGACGGACTCTACGAATGGAACTTCATGCCCTTCGGTTTGAGGAACGCATCCGCGGTGTTCCAGCGAGTCATGGATGCAGTGCTGAGGGAGGTGAAGGGGGCAGCGTGTTATATCGACGACGTGATCATCTTCAGCCCTGATGCAGAGACGCACGTGCGAGACGTAGAAGCGACGCTGACAGCAATAGAGGCGGCCGGCTTGACCTGTCATCCAGGGAAGTGCCGCTTCGGACATGGGAGCGTAGCATACCTGGGGTTCGAGGTGGCAGGAGGAGAGCTTAGCATCCAGAAAGCTAAGGTGGAGGTGTTGGATCGAGTGGAGAGGCCGAAGGACAGAAGCAGCCTGAGGGCCCTGCTGGGGTTTCTCAACTACTACCGCAAATTCATCGAGAACTTCAGCAAGCGAGCAGCACCCCTGAACAAGCTGCTGCGGGAGGAGCAGAAGTGGCAATAGGAGCAGCCGCAAGAGCAGGCCTTACGGGGGCTGATGGAGGCAGTCAAAGCCGGGGCCGTACTGAAGCTGCCAGACAGACAGCAGCCATTCATCCTCTATACGGACTGGAGCAGTATAGGAATGGGGGCAGTCCTGAGTCAAATGGATAGCGGAGTGGAGAAGGTGGTGGCCTTTGCAAGCCGAACCTGCAGCCCAGCGGAGGCCAACTACTCGTCCTACGAAGGGGAGGGGCTGGCAGCCGTGTGGGCGGTGGGACACTTCCGAGTGTACCTGCAAGGACGGCACTTCACGCTGGTCACTGATCACCAGCCCCTGCTGTGGCTAATGCACAATCAGACCCTGACAGGAAGAAATGCGCGGTGGGCCATGAAACTACAAGAGTATGACTTCACCGTGAAGCACAGGCCAGGCACCACAATGCAGCACGGGATGGGCTCTCCAGGAACCCTCCAAGGGGAGGCAGGAAGCCAGAGCCAGAACCAGAGCCAGAGCCTCCAGCAGCGGCGCTGACCGCCATGGTGAGGGAGCGAGGGACGGGAGGAGAGCAGCAGAAGGGACCAGCTGACGTGTGGCAGGATGAGGAGACTCTGAAGTGGATAAGGGGGGAGACAGCAGAGGACGGGGGAGCAGGAGCAAGAGTAAGGGCACGGGGGCAGAACTACAGGTGGTTTCAAGAGCAGGTGCACCTGCAGACTAAGGACGGGTGGAAGCGGGTGCCAGCACCAACAGAGAGGGAAGGCATCATCCGAGAAGTGCACAACAAGCTGGGGCATTACGGCCCGTTACGGACCCTGCAGCTGCTGCAGACTGGGTGGTGGTGGGCAGGGATGCGCAAGGAAGTGAAGGAGTGGGTGGAGAAGTTCGAGCTGTGCTGCAGGAACAAAGCGAGCCTGCTAAAAAGCCAGGCAGAGCTGCAGCCCTTGAGCATCGTGGAGTTGGGCTATCGGTGGTCACTGGACATCGCGGGAGAGCTGCCTGTGTCTCGGAGGGGTAGACGGTACGTGCTGCTCATGATCGAGCATGTAAGCAAATGGGCTGAAGCAAGGCCCTTGGTGGCCAAGACGGCTGAAGCAGTGGCAGAGGCATTTGAGGAGATGGTGCTGACGAGGTTCGGTGCGTGCGGGGAGGTGCTAACCGACCAGGGGACAGGGTTCCAAGGGGAGTTCAAGGAGCTGTTGGCAGAGAACGGCATCCAGCACCGCACCACCTCCAGGTACCATCCACAGAGTGACGGCATGACGGAGAGACTGGTGCAGACGGTGAAAAAGGGGCTGCAGGTGTATGGAGAGGCGAACAAGGGCGATTGGGATAAGAAGCTGGCGTGGGTGATGGCGGGGTACAGGTTTAGCAAGCAGGCGTCGCTGAAAGATGTGTCACCGTATTATCTGCTCTTCGGAAAGCACCCCATACTGCCAGTGGACGCACCAAGGCTGATGCTCGATACAGTCAGGACTAACACAGTGGAGAAATGGGTAGAACTGGCGGACGCGAGAGCCAAGTACCTGAAGAAACTGCTGCCAGCGGCCATGGAAAGCCTGAAGGTGGCGCAGTTGCGGGACATACACCGTTACAAGCAGAGGCAGCTGAACAAAATGGCGGGGAAGCAGACAGCAGTGGAGGAAGGGCAGGCGGTGTACCTGCGGCGGGCTAAGCGAGACGGACTAGATGTGGGAGTGTCTCAGCAGAGGTGGGAGGTGAAGGAGGTTCGGGACTCAGGAGTACTGGTGCTGGAGGATGCAACTGGGAAGAGTCATGGACCACGTCACCAACGTGGCCCTCGCAGGAAAGCAGCAGCGGGCAGGTGGCTACTCAGGTCCCATGACCAGGGCGAGGACGGCCGCTGCAGGTCATGGGAGGGGGCAGGAGAGGTAGACAAGAGTCATACAACAACAAGTACCAGAGCAAGGACACCAGTGAGGGTGAGGCCAAAGAGTTAAGGAGAACAGGAGCAAGGGAAGGTGAGGAGTGACCGGAAGGAGGAAGGGGAGAGCGGAATACACGGCACAGGGGGAGTAAGCAGGAGTGGAATGGAGTGATGAGAGGAGAAGAAGGGAGGTATCCGACAGCTCTCACATTTGCATGAATGTGAAGGGTAAGGTTGTGCGTGAGTGGGCTGTATATACTGTAGATTTTGTACATAGCGAGGCGAAATGCAGCGAGGAAGGGAGCCGAAGAGACATTCGACCTTTCACGGACGGAGCAAGGAGTTGGGGAGCTGACGGTTGCCGAGCCGGCGGGTTGGAGGATTGCATGGGCAAGCGGGAGCTGGAACTTATGTAAGCAAGGAGGGGCGGGCTGCAGAAACAGAGCCAGGCAAGGCAGCGGCATCAGGAAGCAGCAGCGCAGGATGTGATGGATGGGTGAATGTATGCATGCGTGTTTGTTTCCCCAGGTGTGCAGGATAGGTTCGGGAAGCCAGCTGGATCTGGAAGTAACAGCTGGAGGTCGAGCAGACAGGGCAGGGAAGGGTGGCAAGAAGAAGCACGGCTGTAAGCCTGTGTGAAGCAGCTCTTAGCTGCTAGCGTAGGCGGGGGTGATAGGACAGAAGCAAGGCGGTGGCAGCGCTGGTAGAATAGGGGGATACCTGAACGATCTATCCATTGCTTGTATGTTTTCCTTTTACACGAGTGCTTTGATGTAATCCGAGCAAACAGTGAACCTAGGGAGATATGACGAGCAAGGGATTGTAGGCAGTAGAAGCAATGTCTAGTATGTGACGGAGCAGAGAGCTCATCAGGAGAGGTAGACAAGAGTCATACAACAACAAGTACCAGAGCAAGGACACCAGTGAGGGTGAGGCCAAAGAGTTAAGGAGAACATGAGCAAGGGAAGGTGAGGAGTGACCAGAAGGAGGAAGGGGAGAGTGGAATACACGGCACAGGGGGAGTAAGCAGGAGTGGAATGGATTGATGAGAGGAGAAGAAGGGAGGTATCCGACAGCGGGTTGTAGTGGCAGTGGCAAGGGCTGTAGCGGCGACAGTAGGAATTGTAGCCGCAGCTCAGCAGAGCAGGGTAGCGTGCGTTGCGCACCGTGCAAGGCAGCGCGAGGCGTGATGGCTATTCATGGGCAGCGTGCGAAGCAGCATAGCAGCACGCAGCACGAGCATTGCGGGCGGCGCGCGGGCAGTGCGCTGGCCGCGGACGAGCAGCAGGAGCAGTGCGGGCGCGGCGCGGGCAGCGCACAGACAGCTCGGGCAGCGCGAGAGACGTGCGGACCAGCAGGGGCACGCGATGCGCGTGGCAGCAGGAGCGCGCTACACGCGGGGCAGTGGGTAGCGCGCTGGCATGTTGCGGGTCGTGCGAGGGACAGGGCAGGCGCTATTGCAGAAAAACGGGCAGGCCAGGGCAGAACTAACGGTGGGCCCGGGAACCTATCTGATCTTAATGTCATGTTAGAATAGTAGAGTAGGGATGATGTTGACTAGTTTAAGGAGAGAATGTTGAGAGAAGAGTAGTACCCCCTAAGATGCATCTCACTATAGCCTAACTAAGAAATATGATATAACTTTGACACATCTTGTTTTGTTGCTTGACTTGATTGGTATTGTGACTATGTGCATCTCTTTTTTATGCACCTCACGTAGCCTATGGGGAGGGGAGTGGGTGGGGGGAAGGATGGGGGTGGGGGGAAGGATGGGGGCGGGGGGGGGGGGGGGGGGTCAAACTATCGTATGTTTGTCTCTTTGTTAGATATATTAGGCTAATATGAGGTACCTAGTATAGATTACAACATCTATCTCTACATTCATACGATACTTGTGGAAGAACCTGGAGTTCCATTGGGCCAAAGTTGCAACTGCATTTCCCTCGTCCTATACATGCGCATCTAACTAAGCCGTTCTTTCAACAACCATGTTAGGTGCCAATAGAATATCATAGGAACAATGCAGTCTATACAATCTCTATTTTTTCTTGACTACCCAACGAGGTGCTGAACCGCGTTCAGCGACACAATAGGGGAACATTTTTCGTGTTGACAATGAAAGCAATGAAACTTTTGGAAATAGTCACAGTCAAGGGTTACAATTTGTTCCCAACCGATTGGTTGCCTGCTCGAGTGTATTCTAGCTTTGCCCACCTTTTTTACATCCAATTGTTTTGACCCGAGCCTTCGTAAATCGTTCCTTCCGAAAGCTCCCGCAACATCCTTCAGTGACTCATCAGCCCACAGCAGCCATGGAGGCTCGTGAAGTGCCGCTTCTGTGTCATAACCCCCTGTTGTGCCATCTCGCCGTCGCTCTTTCTGCGAGACTATCTCGCTGCCCCTCATTCTTCCCAACCATAGTTGGCGGCCTCGTCGCCCTCCCCCCCCCGCGCGGCTCGGTCGCCGCCCTTTCGCGACCTCGTCGCCGCCCCTACGCGGCTTCGTCGTCGCCCCTACGCGGCCTCGTCGCCGCCCATACTCGACTCCGTGGCCTCCCTCCCCTTCGCGGCTCTGTTGTCGCCTCTTCGCGGCTTCGTCGCCGCCCCTCGCCGCCCTTCGCGGCCCCTCCAGGACCCGTCGCGGTCCCCCCTTTCCTCTCGTCTGCAGCCGCTGCCGCCGCAGAGCCTACAGCAGCAGCCGCGGCCGGACCTGCAGTAGCAACCGCCGCCGAGCCAGCAGCAGCAGCCGCGGTCGGACCTGCAGTAACAACCGCCGCCAGACCTGCAGCAGCTGCCGCGGCCCAGCCTGCAGCAGCTGCCGCCGCCGAGCCTGCAGCAGCTGCCGCCGCCGAGCCTGCAGCAACAGCCGCGGCAGAGCCTGCAGTCGCAGCCGCCGCCAGCCCTGCAGCAGCGGCCGCCGCCGACCCTGCAGCAGCAGCTGTCGCCTACCCTGCAGCAGCTGCCGCCGCCGAACCAACAGCAGCAGCCGCCGCCGGACCTACAGCAGCGGCCGCCGCCGACCCTGCAGCAGCTGCCGTCGCCGAGCCAGCAGCAGCAGCCGCCGCCAGACCTGCAGCAGCTGCCGCCGCCGAGCCTGCAGCAGCAGCCGCCGTTCGAGAATACCACAGCAGCCGCCGCCGTCCCTGCAGCAGCGGCCGTTCCCGAGCCTTCAGCAGCTGCCGCCGCCGTCACTGCCACGGCACTGCCCTGCCCTACCGCGCTACTGCTGCTGCTGTCACTGCTACTGACACTACGACTGTTACTCCTACTGCTACTATGGCTAGCCCTCCTGTGCTAGCCTTCGATGCTGAGGGCCGCCCAAAAAAGTTTGATACCTGGCTAGATGACCTGCACCTCTTCCTACAGCTCACTGCCAAGGAGGACATTTCACTGTACGATCACGCCCTAGGCCATGCTACTGCCCCTGACACTACTGCTGACAGCACTCTGCGCTCCCAGTGGCAGACCCGTGACGCGCACGCTCGCTTCGCTATTCGCAACTCCCTACCGCTAGATGAGCGCGAGCACTTCGGCCAGTGCAAGACTGCTAAGGAACTGTACACAGCCGTAGTTGCTCGTTACTCCTCACCTGCGTCTGCCGCACTAGGCCGCCTCTCACTCCCCTATCTGTTCCCCGACCTGGCCTCCTTTCACACTGTTGCTGACCTCATCACCCACCTCAAGACTAGTGAGGCCCGCTTTCGCGCTGCTATGCCTGCCGAGTTCCTTGCTAGCAACCCCCCCCCGCTCTGGCTCACTCTCTACCACATTGTCACCCGCCTCCCTGACTCTCTGCGCACAGTCAGGGATTCCTTTCTAGCTCGCTCCCCTACTGAGCTCACCATTGCCCTCCTCGAGAAGGACCTACTTGCAGCTGAGGCGAGCATCGTCGCCGTAGGTGCCTCTCGTGGCGAGCCCCGCACCCCCTTCTTTGAGGGGTGTTCCCCTTCCCCCCTTCTCCCCTCTGTCGCCTCTGCTTCTGCTGTCGACCTCCTTGGTGCTGAGAAGGTCGGGACCGCGTCTGCTCCGAGCGGGCGCCGCAGGACCAAAGGAGGCAAGGGTGGAGGTGGCGGCGGGGGAGGCGGGGGTGGAGGCGGTGGGGGTGGAGGAGGGACTAGAGAGGCTAGTGGCGGCAGTGGGGGTAGTGACGGCAGCGGCGGAGGCGGTGGCAGGGGCGGGGGCGGCAGCGGGGGCGGCGGTGGTCGTGGCAGCGGCAGGGGAGGGGGTGGTCGAGGAGGTGGCAGCGGCGGTGGTGGTCGTGGAGGCGCTGGCGGTGGTCCGAGCCAGCAGCACACTCCGTCGCTCCAGGAGGCCCGTGAGTGGTATGCGCAGCGTGGGGGGGCGGGTGGCCTTAGCTGCACGTACGTCATCCGCACTGGTGACCGCGCTGGTCAGACGTGTGGGAAGCCGCACCCCACGCCGCGCTGTTTCGCGCGCCTTGACGACGCTTGGCGCACTCAGTTCCCTGACGGCAATGAGCTGCCCCGCTGGTTTGATCTGGAGAAGAAGGGTGTTGATATCTGGGCTTTAGACTTTGATGCTATTCTCACTGATATGTATGCTATGTTTACTAGTGGAGAGGGTGCTCAGTACTTGTGTGTTCCGCCCGACCCGGGCATTCTCACCAGTGAGGCTGCTGCTCTAGGTGCTAGTGCGTCTGCAGCTCCAGGTGCTCGCGTGTCTGCCACCTCAGGTGACGGTGAGGCTGTCGCTCTAGGTGCTGCTGAGTCTGTCTCCCCTGGTACTGAGTCGACTGCGGCACTGCACACCTTCACACTGGACTCGGGTGCTTCTCGCTGTTTCTTTCGAGATCGCACTGCCCTTGAGCCACTCGCTCGGCCAGTTGCTGTCTCCCTCGCTGACCCCTCTGGGGGTCCGGTCATTGCGACCTCCTCCACTGTTCTTCCCTGTCCTGCGGTCCCGTCTGGCACACTGTCTGGTCTCTACCTCCCTCGTTCTCTACGAACTTGGTGGCGGGTAGTGCGCTCCAGGACGGGGGTGTTCACCAGTTCACCCCTGCCTACGAGCGCGTGACACACTGCACGTGTGCTCGGACGGGCCGTCACCTGGCTACCTTCACTCGAGAGCCGGGGTCGGACCTGTACACACTGACCACTGAGTCCCCTCAGGTAGCTACGTCTGCGTCTGCGTCTGCGTCAGGTCAGCTGTCCGCCCCCTGCTCGTGTCGCTCTCTGGCGCATGAGACTGTCCTCTGGCACCACCGCCTTGGTCACCCGTCTGTGCAGCGCCTTCGGGCCATGCACAAACAGGACCTTGTTGCTGGTCTTCCCAGGGTTCTCCCTCCCCTCCCACCCTCGCCTGCTCCTCCCTGTCTTCCCTGTGTCGAGGGGCGGCAGCGCGCCACTCCTCACTCCTCCTCCTTTCCCCAGACGACTGCTCCTTTGCAGACGCTCCACTTGGACGTGTGGGGCCCAGCCCGCGTCCGTGGACAGGGTCAGGAGAGGTACTTCCTGATTGTTGTTGACGACTTCTCGCGCTACACCACGGTCTTCCCCTTGCGCACCAAGGGTGAGGTCCCTGATGTCTTGATCCCTTGGATCCGCAGATCTCGTCTCCAGCTCAGTGAGCGTTTCCACTCCGACTTTCCTGTCCTGCGTCTGCACTCTGACAGAGGTGGGGAGTTTTCCTCCGGCCTCTTGGAGGCCTTCTGTCAGCAGGAGGGCATTGCGCAGTCGTTCACGCTTCCGGCCTCTCCACAGCAGAATGGGGTTGCTGAGCGCCGCATTGGCTTGGTCATGGAGGTCGCTCGTACCTCCTTGGTTCATGCGGCTGCCCCCCATTTTCTGTGGCCGTTTGCAGTCCGATACGCTGCGCATCAGCTCAACCTCTGGCCCCGAGTCTCCCTCCCGGAGACTTCTCCGACCCTGCGTTGGACGGGAGAGGCTGGCGATGCGTCGCGTTTTCGGGTCTGGGGATCCCGAGCTTTTGTTCGAGACACGTCCGCGGACAAGCTCTCCCGTCGCGCTGTCCCCTGTGTCTTCCTTGGCTTTGTCCCGGACGCCCCTGGTTGGCAGTTCTACCACGCCACCTCGCGTCGTGTCCTGGCCTCTCAGGACGTCACTTTTGACGAGTCCGTCCCCTACTACCGCCTCTTCCCCTACCGCACTGCCCCGCTCCCCCCCCCCGCCTCTCTTCCTCGCTCCAGGTGCTGAGGTACCAGACCCCCTCCCCCCTCAGGGTGCCGCTCCCTCAGGTGTGTCCCAGGTAGACCCGGGTGAGCCTGTCGAGGTAGCTGTCGACTCTCGTCCTGCTAGGGGTGCTGAGCCTGGGGGTGCTGAGCCTGGGGGTGCTGTGTCTGGGGGTGCTGAGCCTGGAGGTGCGGAGCCTGGAGGTGCGGAGCCTGGGGGTGCTGAGCCTGGAGGTGCGGAGCCTGGCGGTGCGGAGCCTGGAGGTGCTGAGTGTGGGGGTGCTGAGTCAGGGAGTGCTGACCTTGAGCGTACTACACCTGGAGGACCCCTCTCCTCCCCACAGCTGCAGGAGAGGTACCTACAGTACTGCCGCCTCCGGAGAGGTGCTACTGGAGCTCGTCCCGGTACTTCCCCTCCTCCCCAGGAGCTCCCCCCCATTCAGCAGATCCGAGAGTGGTACACGCGGCGCTGCAGTCTTCGGAGTGGTGCTCCTGGTGCTGCGGACCCTGGGGGTGGCGCTGCTACTGGTGCTGAGGACCCGGGCGTTGGGGCTGCTGCTGGTGCTGAGGACCCGGGCGTTGGAGCTGCTGCTGGTGCTGAGGACCCGGACGTTGGAGCTACTGCTGGAGCTGAGGACCCGGACGGTGGAGCTGCTGCTGGTGCTGAGGACCCGAGCGGTGGAGCTGCTGCTGGTGCTGAGGACCCGAGCGGTGGAGCTGCTGCTGGTGCTGAGGACCCGGGAGTTGGAGCTGCTGCTGGTGCTGAGGACCCTGCCGCTGGTGTCTCTGCTGGTTCTGGAGACGCTGTGCGGCCGCGACCGTACTTCGTACCACTTCTTCAGCAGGTTCTTGGTCAGGCTCCTCCTCCTTGTCCTCCTCCCTCCGTAGAGTGTCCTCCGCCTGTCCAGTCGCAGTCACAGTTCCCGCCTGCCTCGCCTCTCCCTTGTCCCTCTCCTTACACTGGTCCCACAGGAGGTCTTGCAGAGCGTCGTGAGCCTGCGTCTCGTCCTGCGTCGCCTGTTCGTACTGCTCGCACTGGTCGTCGTGTCCCACGTGAGCGTCCTCCTCCTATCCCTGGCACTCACTACATGACTCTGCGTCCCTCCACTGCTCCTCAGCGTGTTCCGCTGCCGTCTCCTCCTGCGTCCTCTCTGCCTACTCTTCCTGATCCGGAGTCTGACTCCCGTCGTGCTGCCAGTCCCACTGTCACCCGTCTCCTCGCTACTGTTGTCACTAACCCTACCTTTGAGTCCTCTGCTGCGTCTGCTCTGGTCGCTGAGTTGATAGACTTTGCTGCCCGCTGTCGTCTAGACTACGCCACTAGCCTTGTTGCTGAGTCTGAGTCTGAATCTGTCTGTCCTCCGTCCGTCGGGGGTGAATGTGCTCTTGGCACGGACGTCCTTGAGGACAGACAGGAGGAGTTCCAGTGCTTTGCTGCTGCTTTACCCCACCTCGTGTCCATGCTAGTTGCCCCTGAGGGAGACCCGGATGCACCAGACATCCCGACCCCGCGCACTTACGCTGAGGCGATGGCTGGTCCCTACTCCTCTCAGTGGCAGACAGCCATGGACGCTGAGATGGCTTCCTGGAAGTCCACACGCACCTACGTCGACGAGGTTCCCCCACCTGGGGCGAACATCGTCAGTGGCATGTGGATTTTCAGGGTGAAGCGGCCACCGGGTTCTCCTCCTGTCTTCAAGGCGCGCTACGTGGCTCGAGGCTTCAGTCAGCGAGAGGGAGTTGACTTCTTTCAGACCTTCTCCCCCACCCCGAAGATGACCACTCTTCGGGTGCTGCTACACATAGCCGCTCAGCGCGACTACGAGCTTCACTCACTTGACTTCAGCACTGCTTTCTTGCAGGGCAGCCTGCACGAGGAGATCTGGCTGCGCCGCCCTCCTGGCTTCACTGGGTCGGTTCCTCCTGGTACCCAGTGGAGGCTCCAGCGGCCGGTCTACGGTCTCCGCCAGGCACCGCGTGAGTGGCACGACACACTGAGGACGACACTTGCAGCTCTTGGGTTTGCTCCCTCTACTGCTGACCCGTCACTGTTTCTACGCACAGACACCTCACTGCCGCCGTTCTACATCCTCGTGTACGTCGACGACTTGGTCTTTGCCACTGCTGACACCGCGGCACTCGCCCACGTGAAGTCGGAGCTGCAGAGGAGACACACGTGCACAGACCTGGGTGAACTGACAAGCTATCTTGGCTTGCGGATCACCTGGGACAGAGCACGGCGCACCATCACCTTGACTCAGTCACACATGGTGCAGCAGATCCTTCAGCGCTTCCGCTTCACGTACTCCTCGCCTCAGTCCACTCCTCTGCCTACCGGTCACTCGCTCTCAGCTCTGCCTTCGGATGAGTCCGTAGAGCCGAGTGGCCCGTATCCAGAGCTTGTGGGCTGCCTCATGTACCTGATGACCTGCACTCGACCTGACCTTGCATACCCTCTTAGCATCCTTGCACGCTATGTCGCTCCTGGCCGTCACAGGAAGGAGCACATGGATGCTGCTAAGAGGGTGTTGCGCTACTTGTGCAGTACGTCAGGCATGGGGCTAGTGCTTGGAGGGCGAGACCGAGTTGTACTTACTGGACACTCAGACGCTTCTTGGGCGGACGACCAGGCTACTCAGCGGTCGTCTCAGGGTTACACCTTCAGCCTTGGCTCCGGCTCAGTTTCTTGGCGTTCTACACGCTCTTCTTCTGTTCTCAGCTCCAGTTGTGAGGCTGAGATCTACGCCACAGCCATGGCTGCCCAGGAGCTACGCTGGTTGACCTACCTGCTGACCGACTTGGGTGAGCGGCCTCGTTCTCCTCCAGTGCTGTACGTCGACAACCAGGCTGCCATTGCCTTGTGTGAGGAGCACAGACTTGAGCACAGAACGGAGCTGCAGCAGCGCGGTCAGCTTTGTCTGCGTTACGTGGCCACTGAGGCCAACCTTGCTGATGTGTTCACCAAGGCGCTTCCGCCTTGTGACCATCAGCGCTTCTGCACTCTGCTAGGCCTTGTGCCTACTGGACCTCACTTGCTTACTTCTTGACCCTGCTTGTACTGTGATCACTATATATATATACCTGCATGTTTACTCTTGCTAGGTTGTGATCACTGTATCTCTTGTTTTGTTATAAACCTGCATGTGAACTGGCCTTGTGGCCACCTGCTTGTGCTCAGACTGTGTGGTGTCCTTGAGATCCACCCTGAGCTTTGTCTTGCTTGCTTTTATGCTTGACTGGTCTTGTGACCACTGTTAGGTTTGGCTATCCCCCCTACTTCACCTATGGGGGTGTGTCAAATTATATGTTTCATATTATTTAGTTCTAGGTTGTGTAGGGGTGATTCTTAGAGGGTACAACAATTCTCTCGATACTCTTGTACCCCCTCCCCTAACCTAATCGACATACTTTCCTCTCTAGTCTTAACAGGCAAATCTGTGCCCATATCTCGCCAACAACTGCCATCCACCATCGCTACCGTCACCTGCGCTGCGCCTCTCTGCCGCACCTCTCTGTTGTGCTGATCGGTTTTCCGCTTTGCTCGCCATGATGGGCGGCTTTCCGACGCTGCTCGCGCTCGCCCTAATTCTTGGTCAGTCCACCACACATGCCGCTCCGACGTTTTGGACTTCTCGACTACTGACACTGAGGCACTGGCCCTTGTGAAGGCGGAACTACAAAAGAGACACACCTGCACTAACATGGTGAGCTGCGGAGCTATCTTGGCTTGCAGATCACCGGGGACAGAGTAGTGCGCACCATCACGTTGACTCGGTCACACATCGTGCAACAGGTCCTTCAACGCTTCCACTGAAAGTTCTCCTCGCCAATACCTACTCCTCTACCTCCGAGCCACTCGCTCTCAGCTCCACGTTCGGACAAGTCCGTAGAGCCAAGTGGTCCGTATCTAGAGCTTGTCGGGTGCCTCATGTTTCTGATGACGGCACTCGGCCTTACCTCGCGTACCCCTTTTGCATTGCCCCGCCTGGTTGCGCCTGGGAGACACCGTCTAGAGCACTGGCAGGCAACTACGAGGATATTGTGCTACTTGGCCAGTACACTAAGCATCGGGACTGTGCTTGGAGGACGGAGATCAGTTGTGCTCAGATGACATTTAGGCGCTTCGTGGGCCGTTGACCAGGCAACTTTTTAATGTTCACAGGGCTACACTTTCAGTCTCGACACTGGTGCTGTCTCCTAGAATTACGCTGGCTGACCTATTTGCTCATAACTTGGGTGAGTGGCCTCGTTCTCCTCCAATATTATTGCCTTGTGTGTGGTATGTAGACTACAAGGCCATGATTGCCTTGTGTGGGGTGCAGAGTCTTGAGCACAGAATGAAGCACATTGCCTTTCGTTACCTTCTCGTGCGAGAGTTGCAGCATCGTGGTCAGCTTCGCCTTTCTTACGTGGCCTTAAAGGCCAACTTCGTTGATATTATAGCCCTCGAGTTCAATGATCATCAGTATTTCTGTACTGCTCCTGGTCCTGTGCGTAATCTACCTTACTTGTTTGTTTCTTAATCTCGCCTTGTACTTGCTGTACTATGATAATTTTTGAAAACCTGGATGTGTATGCATAGGTACTGGCCTTATGGCCGCTTGCTTGTGCTCGGACTGTGAGGGCCACACTCGACCGAGGTTAGGAAGGTTGAACCAATTTGCTGATATAACCAGAGGATCAAGTAGATAGGATAAGATCTGTTAAGTCTGAGAGGAGACAATGAAGTCCCTATAGTGACCTTGTTGAATAATAATTGAAAGAGAACAAGATGATTATAAGATAGGAATATAAGAGATTAAATATAAAATTAGCTAGCCATGTACTCTGAGGGGTACATTCCCTTATTAACTGTATTACATAGCTACAGTAACCGCGACTATTGCCATGCTCGACAGTTACCATGTTGCAGCGAACAACTGTCGCGCGGTTACTGGATGGTCAAGGGTCACAACCGTTGACTACCCATGACGGTTAACCTTCGGGTGACCCTCGACCTTCCGCATGCTCTATATGAGCTATTGCGGTACTGGTACAGTGAAATACTTTCGGGAATGCTTATATAACCTTTCGGTTATTCCAACACTCCCCTTCATTCCTGAAGGTGGGCCACGTAGGATTTCTTGGTGATCTCGCAGAGGTTGGCGCAGCGCTGGTACTGCTGTCGTGGCAGTTTCTTTGTTAGGAAATCGGCTGCCATGTCACCGGTCGGGCAGTACGTCAATTTGACTCTCCCCTTGTCGATTTCGTCTTTCACGAAGAAGTAGCAAAGGGCGATGTGCTTGGTGCGGTTGACGAAGCCGGGCTTGTTCGCGATCTTTATCGCGCTCTGATTGTCGCAGAGTAACGTGAAGTGCCTGTTCATCGTTACTTTCACCTCTTACAGGAGTTCCATCAGGTACAGTCCTTCGCGAACAGCTGCGCTGGCTGCGATGAATTTTGCTTCTGCTAATGAAAGAGCGATGAGTTCTTGCTTCTAAGAGTTCCAGGAGATGAGTCTGGCAGGTTGGAGTTGGAAAATGAATCCTGTGCAGGAGCGTCTGTTGTCAACATCTCATGCGTGGTCAGCGTCTATGTAGCCATGGAGCTGCAGGGTGGCGGTGAGGATAGCTTCGTAGGTTAGACCAACGTCGGGAGTGGAGATGAAGTATTGCAGTGCTCGGCGTAGATCCAGTAGATTCTCCCCTTCAGTTCGATTCAGGTACTGTGCGAGCTGGCTTGCGACGTAGGAGAGATCGGGCCGGCACGTGACGGCGGCGAACAGGAGACATCCCAGCTGCTGCTGATAGAGACGATGATCATCGGGAGAGAGTGGCGTGGTGTCTGGCTCTTGGTTAGGAGGAGGAGTGTGATAAGGTGTGGTGAGGTTGATTGGTGCGATGACGAACCGCTTCGCGAGTTTTTCGGTGTACTTTGGCTGCGGAGAGGTGGATGGAGGAGGCGGACTCAGTCACATTGAGGCCGAGGAACTGCGTGACGTTGTGGTTGACTGTCACTTCAAGCTTCTCCTTGATGTCAGCCTCAAACTGGTCCAGTAGCTCCGTATCGTCGCCAGTGCAGAGGAGGTCGTCGACGTAGGCGACGAGGAGAATGAATTTTAAGCGCGATTCCCGCCTGTACATTCCGAGGTCATGCGGCAGCTGGGTGAAGCCGAGCTCAATGAGGACGGAGTGGAGGTACTGCTGCCACAGAGGAGGTGCCTGCTTGATTCCGTAGAGGGATTTTTGGAGGAGGCACACGGCGCCATCGTTTTCTTCGAATGCATGCGGTTGCTCGACGAAGATGATGGCATTGACGGGAGCGTACAAGAAAGCGCTGCCGACGTCGATTTGTCGAAGCGGTCGCTGTTTGACGGCTGCGATGCAGAGGAGCACCGAGGTGTGGTGGCCGACTGGCGCGTAGGTGAGGGGGAAGTCCACCATGTGCATTTGCTCAAAACCCCGCACCACCCATCGCGCTTTGTATTTGTTGACCGAACCGTCCGCCAGGGTGTTGATGCGAAAGACCCATTTGCCGCTGAGAATTTTCCTCCCCTTTGCCGATGACCGAGGGACCAGCTTTCATGTGCCGCGTTTGTTCAGCGACGCGACTTCTGCCGCCATAGCCGCTCTCCATTTCTCGCTGTCGAGGCCGGACAGAGCTTGGCGGACAGTGGTTGGTTCCTTGGGAGAAGTGTGGCGAACTGCAACGGCGAGGCCGAGAACCCGAAGACCGGTTTCGTCAGTCTTTTCGTAGTGGAGACTGTCGTAGTCGTGGAAGCTGGTGACTTCGACCACGTCGTCGTCACTTTCGTTGCCGAGGCGGAGGGTGTCTTGCAACGAGTTGGGCTGTGGTAACTTGGCACCCCGGGATCGGCGTGCCTCACTGTTGTAGTCGTGATCTTTGCGTGTTGTATCGTCGGGATCGGGTTGGTGTAGAGGGGCTCGAATGGGCTTGTAAGGGGGATGCTCGGGGCGGAGTCCAATCGGGTGACATCAGCTGCGTCTGCATCTTCCGCCAGATCAGCTTCGTCGTGTGACGTGTAACCTGCTCGATGAGTTCCGTGGAGGGACGTGAACGTCGTCGAGGTCGCGATGGCGAAGGCGACTGCGGGCTGGTATCTCGAAGTCGATGTGGCTCGTCAGGCGCAGACAACAGCCGACGGATGCCCAACAAGGCAAGTCGGGCCAATCGTCTGCGCGCACCTGCGAGCATGCGCACTGCTGTCTTCTACGGGGCAACGCTGGACAGCCGCACAGCTGCAGCGTTGGCACGCCGTCGACTTGCAGTGTTGGCAGGTCGCTCTTCTGCAGTGCTGGTGCGGCTCCTCTACGCAACGCTGGCAGGCGGTCGACCATGCAGTGCTGGCGGTCGACCAGGCTAGCTCCAGAGTTGCTAGGTGCCTGATGTAGTCCATTCTGTCATTGCGTGTTCAATCATTCTGTAATTTCAACTTTGCTAGTGGAAACTCTTGCCAATCTCTCCCGTGAATGTGCAAGCACTAAGGAACCAAGCAAAGCTACGATCACTCCTAGTAGTTCGTGCCAACCCCCATAGTCTAGCTCACTACCGTTGTAGAGTGAATCTCCGCATGGTGTGGTGAGCGTGGACGGCCCTGCAAGTTACCTTCAGATAGGAGCCGAATTTTGCACCTACTAAGTCGTTCGTAGGCCGGCAGCAGCGTTAGTCGCCATGCTCGATCCCGTTGTAAAACGGGCGTAGCGGACACATTGGAGGAACGCTTGGCTGATGCGGGGAGACGCCCCGCTGATGGCGAGTACGGGACGATCCCCTTGACGATCGTCGAGTTGGGCATCCGGGCGCAGTGAGCTACGGAACACCCTTCCCCTCTTGCATCTCCTCGACCGGCACGAAACGAAGGGGGCGTCGACGGAGGTGCTCGAGTCAGCGGCAGCGAAGGCACGAGGCAGAGAGGGGTGATCAAGGTCGACGGTGGCGTCGACGGGATTCAGGCGCGAGTGCAGCGGTCGACGGCGGCTGCAGGCAACTCGCGTGTCGACGTCGATGGTCGACGTCGCTCTCCTCTACGAAGTGGTGGAGGTCTCTC